ATTGGTTCCCGTCCATGCGTAGCAAAATTAAAGACTACGTGGAAAACTGCCTAGTATGTCTGCTAGCAAATCATTCGTCTGCCACAGTGGGCCAGACGACCCGAAATCTTGGCCAAAATTCAAAATGTTGATGGATTGGCATAAAACTCAGTATCTAAGGGTTTTTAGGGTCACTGATTTCGAATCCAAACTCAAAATTTAGAAATTCAAAATGGCGGATCCAACATGGCGAACGAGAATGCTAAAAATGTTTCAATTGCTGTTAAATTTGATATTCAAGGGTTTTTGGAGTCGCTGATTTCGAATCCGAACTCAGAATTTAGAAATTCAAAATGGCGGATCCAACATGGCGAACGAGAATGCTAAAAATGTTTCAATTGCTGTTAAATTTGATATTCAAGGGTTTTTGGAGTCGCTGATTTCGAATCCGAACTCAGAATTTAGAAATTCAAAATGGCGGATCCAAAATGGCGAACCGAAAATGCAAAAACAAGTAAATTTTTAATGAAAACTTTATTTAAAAATTTTTTTGTATTTTATCATTTTTATATTTTTAACATTTTTTGAAACTGATTAATTAGTATTCAAGCGTAATTAGAAATCTTCATCACACTGCTCTTCATTAGTCAACTCCGTATCATGCAAACTTTCGTAAAACATTCCTAAGTTTGACCAATTATGTATTCTCTCTCTTTTTCTCAATCAAACGAGACCGAGAAAGAGAATGACTCAAGCGGCCTTACAAATTTTTACGGAAGTTTGCATGATACGGTCATTTGACTAATGAAGAGTAGTATGATGAAGATTTGTAATTATGTTTGAATAATAATTAATTAATCAATTTTCAAAAATGTTTAACTACATTCAAATTTTTAAATAAAAAAATTAAAAAATCGATATATACTACTGAATTTCATAAAAATTAGACAATTATTATAGAAAATTGTTCGCTATTTTGGATCCGCCATTTTGAATTGTGCAATTCTGACATCAGATTCGAAATTAGCGATCCGAAAAACCGTACATGACCATAATTTTTCATAATTTTATCAAAATTCTGGAGTAAATGGATTTTTGGTCACTTATTCGAGTCTCTTGGCCTACTGTGTAGTAGTGGGAAAATAAATACATATCTTTAGTAACGAGCAAAAGTAGCAAAGAGTAGCAATTTGTTCTCGTTATAGTAGTGTTAATATTTAGAGTAAATAAATGTATAGCATTATTATTTGTCCATTTTTAAAACAAATACGATTTTTAAACATTTAATTTATAAAGTTTATATTCATAGTTTTAATCTTTTTTATTTTAAAGATAGGTCTGAAATTATCACCTATATTTTGTAATCAAGCGGTTATTCCTCGAAACCTGTTACCAAAACCTTATTATACAGTTCATTTATATGTTCTCTGAGATATTCTTATGACATATGAAATATTGTTTACAGTAAATTTTAAACTCGACTTTTGGCCAGTTTTTCGGGTCGTCTGGTCCACTGTGGTCTGGCGCGAAAGAAGGCGAAATGCAAATAACGCCGACTCCTACTTTACCATTTCGTATATTACATATAGACCATACGGGTCCATTGCCGGAAACAGACGATAAATTTAAGCATGTACTGGCTTTGATTGATGCCTTTACCCGCTTCACTTGGTTATTCGCGGTAAAGAGCTCGACCTCACGAGAGGTAATAGATCATTTAACACCGTTATTTAACATGTTCGAAAATCCTAACGAATTGGTCTCAGATCGGGGCACTGCCTTCTCCTCGCGCGAGTTCACAGAATTCCTTGCTAATCACGAAATTAAGCACCGTTTGATAGCTGTAGCTACTCCATGGGCTAACGGATTAATAGAACGCGTTAACCGATTTATAAAATCATCTTTTAAAAAGATAGTTGTCGAAGATACCGATTGGGCCAATCACTTGTCATCGATACAATATGTTATAAATAACACGTTCCATTCTTCCACTAAAAGTACTCCCTCAAAACTCTTCTTCGGGTATGATCAGCGTAACCATGCCGATGCAAACTTATAGATCTCTTAACGGAGTTAGCCAAAACCGATTTGCATTACGAGGAAGAACGAGAATTAGCGCGTCGATTAGCGGTAAATACGACTAATCAACTTAAATATTATAACAAAGTCTACTATGATCAAAGGCACAAAACTCCTACAAATTATAAACTAGGGGATTATGTAAGCATTCGTGATCAGGCGCCCACATCGGGTGTTAATAAGAAGATTAAACCTTTATAAGCCCGTATATGATAAGTAAAATTCTCGATAAAAACCGGTATGTTGTCACCGATATTCCCGGTTTTAATTTAACTTCGAGACCGTATAATTCCATTCTCTCTCCGGATTTATATAAATTAAAGTATTTGCTCAAACCTATGGTTCCTCCTGAAGAAAACGTACCTGCGTTAAACTTAAGTATTATTATTATAGTTTTATAGTGTATTATTATAATTTGGTTTTATTTTTAAGAGAAAAAGAGAAACCTCTATGTCCATTCGCGACTTTACTAAACCATTTTTAATCTTTAATATGTAAGAGTTTTGTACGCCCCATTGACTTGTGAATTTATAAGTGTACGTATATCAGTATTGAATGTAAGTGCAATTGTTTTGTTTAGCTCAAACCGATCTCACGATTAAGAGAATGTTATATGAAAGTGTTCAAATTATTATTTCTTTTATTTTTACAATTAATTTTTCCTGATCGTTCGGGACGAACGAAAGGATAGGATGGCCGAGCTGTAAGAAACGGCAATATTACCAGTTACTTTTTAAAACGTTATGTTACGCGCGGAGTGTACCGATGCGCGCGCAGTCCTTCTAGGCGTTGATTGGCCTAGAGGAAAGAGTTCCGCGACGCTTGCGCCGCGGAGGTAACACTGAAGAAGACGACGACATTGTCGTTATGGCGGTTAACGGGCACGAGACACGTGTGTGTATGATGTGAGACAATAAAGCTTATTTTGTGCGTTATCGACTAGTTAACTTGATCCTTCAAGGTTCCAAGTTTCCTTACCAATAAGATCGAATCCCTAGTCTATATATACAGGGTGTCCGGTAACGACCGCAAAATATTTCGTGCGTGGGTAGAACAGACTACACTGAGTCGAAAAGTCCTGTACCATTTTGCAGTGTCAACAATAGTTAAGGAGATATTAACGTTTAAAGATAAGCAAATAAGAGCCGGCCTGCTGCTGCCGAATGGACAACCCACCGATCGCACGGCGCGCGGACCGCTGGGAGTGGGGATGGCCTAGCAGGCGCGCCGCGCCATTCGAGCTTAGAGGCTCGCGGCGGTCAGCGGGGCGCTTGTCCCACTCCCCGCGCGCCAAACTATCGATGGCGGATATTCGGCGTTTTAGAAATAATATCTCGATTGCGAAAATTGGGAAATGATCGAAATCTTTTTGAGAACTCAATTTAGTTCGCTCTAAAGCGTGCGCGTGTACATACAGAAAAATGTTACATATGTATAAATATAACTTGTTTTAAATAAATAATAAGTGTATTTTAAAAGGGTATTTGATAATTCTACCGACAACGTTCGTGAATAAGATAGAGCGGACTGATAGATTAAACTGAATCGAAAAGTCCTTTATCATTTTGCAATTTTCGCAATAGTTAACAAGATATTAATTACTAAAATATTGGTTTTCAATAATTTTTTAATCAAGTATTATCAACTTTACAGAAAAACAGCAACAGACAAAAATTGTTTATTTTTTCTCATAAAGCTCTAGAAATCTTTTCAGAATTTTTTATCAACCTTTTAGTACTGCATTTTCTTATTAACAACTATTTTTAGCAAAATGAGAAAATACGGTACTAAAAAATTCTGAAAAATTCCTAGAGCTTTATGAAAAGAAAATAAACAATATTTGTATCTTGCTGTTTTTCTGTAAAGTTGATAGTACTTGAGTAAAAAATTATTGAAACCAATATTCAGCGATATTTAGTAATTAATATCTTGTTAACTATCGCGAAAATTGCAAAACGGTACAGAGCTTGTCGACTCAGTTTAGTCCGCTCTACCTGTCCACGAGCATTGTCGGTTCGACAATTATCAAACGCCCTGTATTATCAAGAAAATATACTTTGTAAAGATAATCGTTACTCAAAAGAATAAGAATAAAACTTGCGTCTTTTCTTATTAGCACTAGCATGATATTTTTCTGCATGTACGTACACGAAATATTAATCGGTATGTAATGCAGGCTCGCAAGTCAAGAAATAATTATTATTTTTGTCATTTTTTTGGTAAAAAACTGATGAAGCACTATCATTTCCACACCATCTGGCGGTAGATAGCATGGCGCATTTTTTTTTAAGTGGTATCCCCAGTAGGTCTAATCCACTCTTGCATTTTAATGCAAGAATTGTTCGAAGTGCCTTCCTCGCTCTCGTAAGCAGATTTCGGCTCTTCGAGTAATATTGCGCGTCGCGCGATGCGCCATTTCTGGTGTAATGGTATTGAAAGCTGCGAGAATCGCTTCTCGTGCCTCAGCTTCAGTACCATTACGAATATGCTCGACTAAATTTTTGATGTGACCCCAAATGAAATAGTCGAGCACGTTAAGATCCGGCGACCGCGCCGGCCAAATGATTGGGCCACCTCGACCCATCCACTTGTCCGGATAGCGCGTGTCTAATATGTCGCGTACCTGCCGCGAAAAGTGCGCAGGAGCCCCGTCGTGTTGGAAAATGAGTTCCCCCCGTTCGCGAAGAGGAATGTTTTCGAGAAGGACGGGTAACTCATTTTCCAAAAAATCGGCGTATAATCTAACGACTTCTCCCGTTAGACGCAGCGGGAGAAAGAAAGGACCGATCTGAAAATTATGACAAGATTGTTATTTTAAAAAGTACGAGAGAGAGAGACAGAGACAGAGACAGAAAGAGAGAGAGAGAGAGAGAAAGAGAGAATTCCTTAAATAAACCCATTACTACTTACGATTCGGTTCGCTACTGTTCCTGCCCACACATTTATCGACCAGCGATATTGAAAAGCACCTTGGCGAACAGCGTGCGGATTTTCATCTGCCCATAATAAATTATTGCGTGAGTTAAACACGCCATTCGGTGTGAACGTTGCTTCGTTCGTCCACAAAATGCAGTCGGGGAAAAGGGCATTTCGCCGACATTGCGCGAGCAATCCTACGTTACATTTCGCTGGCAGTTAATATTTCTTAAAAACAACGAAATCATTTTATAAAAATAATACAAATACCTTCGCAAAAACAGATGCGCGGCTCTTCGTCTCTCGCAAGAAGTTGCTGCACCCGTTGCAAATGATACCGATGCAGTCCGTTGCGGCGTACAGCACTGTACACCGCATGTCGGGAGAGACCAAGGGCATGAGCGACACGACGTACGCTGTTCCTGGGGTTTTCTTCAAATGCTTGTAGGATTCTCTCTTCATCTTTCACGCGAATTGCCCAGTTCGAAGACATCGAATACATCTCAAAATAAAAATCGCATCAGGATGTCTTTCGCGCGCGGGAAATCGTTCAGTGTAGAAACAAGTGGCGGCAAAAACAATGTTGTTAATTTGTTATCAGCTTCATTTGTTTCTTCACAATCAATCCTTCAATCGTCCAGTGTGTCTTAATGCGTGTGGACCAGAACATTGCATCTATTCTGAGAAAATGGCGAGTTATACTCTTCAAGAATACACTGACATGATTATTATGTACGGTGTAGCCCGAGAATGTGGTCTTGCTGCCGCCCGTCATTACGCGGAACGATATCCTGCATGCGAAAGACATTTACATCCCGATGTAAATGTCATTTTGAGATGTGTTCGACGATTTCGGAAAACGGGATCTGTATTACAAACTCAGCACGGTAGAAGAATGCATATTCACGTGGAAGATGAAGAAAGAATCCTACATTTGAAGAAAACCCTAGGAACAGCGTACGTCGTGTCGCTCATGCCCTTGGTCTCTCCCGACATGCGGTGTACAGTGCTGTACGCCGCAACGGACTGCATCGGTATCATTTGCAACGGGTGCAGCAACTTCTTGCGAGAGACGAAGAGCCGCGCATCTGTTTTTGCGAAGGTATTTGTATTATTTTTATAAAATGATTTCGTTGTTTTTAAGAAATATTAACTGCCAGCGAAATGTAACGTAGGATTGCTCGCGCAATGTCGGCGAAATG